GGGTCTGGATCAGTCCCATGCTGGTTTCCCAGCTATCAGTCTGGAGACCAAGAGCTCCCCCTTGTTCAGCTCAGCTGTTTCTGTGGGTTTCACCAGCCTGGGCTGGACTCCTTTACTCATCACTCTTCCTTCTCTGCAACTGGAATCCAGTTGAGTTCAGTGTTTAGTCATGGGTGTCTGAGAAGCTGGACTAACAAAGTTTTCAATACTTAACTGAACATATTCATCCTAAATTCCAACAGACAACAGGAGACAGTATAGTTGGAGTGTAGGAGGCTGTAAATATACTTCCTGATTCTTTTTTTTTTTTTTTTTTTCGAGGTAGGGTTTTTGGCTGTACTGGAACTAGCTCTTATAGTCCAGGCTGGTCTCAAACACACAGAGATCTGCCTGCCTCTGCCTCCCCAATGCTGGGATCAAAGAGTGTACCACCACCACCTGGCTTGATTCATATGAAAACTCTGTTGGAATTATTTCCAGGAATGGAGACAAAAATACTAACGGTAGAGAATGTGCAAGAATACCAAATGTCCAAAATTGTGAAAACAATAAATAAACCCAAAAGTATAAATTTTCAGTCATTTCATAATGTATTAAAATTATTTCAATAAACATTATTCAATAATGGCATGAAAACCTGGTCTGTGGTGTGAATGAATAAGAACATCATCACTCACTTGCATAGTCAAATAAGACTCCACTATCAATTCTTCTGAAGAAAGTCTTCTCCTGAGGTGAGGTTCTAAATTTATCATGGACCAATAATCATGGAGACTTACACCTCCCAAAGGGACACACAAGAAGAGAAAACATTTCATGAAAATTTCTTTTTTGCCTTTGAGGATTTCATTTATTCTGTGGGATGTGAGACTCATTCACACAAAGCTCACACACTTGCCAATTAGTTTGTCATGAAATACAGAGGAAGAGCAAGGGAGACAACAAGCAAACAATTCTTAGCCATAGAAACCATACTGCTGCAATTCTGCAACATCCAGTACCAGTACAAAGCCCTAGGGGGAGGGTCCAGGTATTGCCACTCCTCCTGGGAGAAGTCTGCAGTCACAACCCTGACTATCAACAGACCACAGAAGAAAACCCAACATTTTAACACTCTTGTTGGTGCACAGCTTTAATCCAAGCACTTGGGAGATAGAAGTTGGTGGAATTTGGTGTTTTCCAGTCCAGTGTGGTGTATCTGGTGAGCCAGACAGAGCAATGCTAACGGTCATGCCTCAAACACAGCAAACACCACAATCCAAAAATAGAAGTTTCATTGTGTGTCCATGGACAGAGTGCTTTCTTGGACCATGGAGGGAAATGAATCTGACATTTTTCTGATATAGATGAGTCATCATAATTATTGAAACCATGCTTTCTAACATCATTCTATACTCGAATGCATTTACATTTCTTTTGTTGTTTTCTATTTTCCTCTGAAACAGGGTCTTTGTGTGCAGTGCTAACTGTCCTTGAGTCACTATGTACACCTTACCAGCCTCCATCTTATATCCATGTACCTGTCTCAGCCTTCTGAGTATTGGGTTTAAAGGAGGGTGGTGGTGGTGGTGGTGGTGGTGGTGGTGGTGGTGGTGGTGCACACCTTTAATCCAAGCTCTCTGGAGGCATGGCCAGGCGGATCTCTGTGAGTTCGAGGCCAGCCTAGCCTACAACTCTAAAACAGCCAGCACTACATAGAGAAATCCTATCAAAAAAAAAAAAAAAAAAGGCATGTTACACCAGACCTGGCAAAGACAATGTTCAGAATGCTGTCTGTACCTCACAGGTTTCGTATGTCTCAGATGGAAAATTGGTATTGGATAAAAGTATGCTTTTAAACGTTTATATTTACCAGTACACCGTGGGGCTCGAAACAACAACAACAACAAAATACTTTCAGCTGCAAAGAAATTTTCAGGCATTCCTTGACTACAATCTGCAAGCTTTCTGCGAATCCAAATCTCAAGGTAAATGTTCCAGGCTTTTGAGTACGAAGTGTATAACTTGGCAATGAGAATGGATGACTGTCAATTTCAAGAGCTTTGTCGTTTGCACCACAGCAAAGAGAATCGTGATTGCAAATCTCCAGATAAATTCAAAAAATTCGATTAGATCATCCTTACAAGAATATTTTGGCAATGAGAACTGAAAATACCAGGCGTATCCCATATGATCTAAAATACACCAAGGGAAAGACATGCACAGCAGAATCTCGGAGCCGGCTTCCTGATGAGCAGCAGAGAAACCGCTCGCCCCCCCCCGCCCCCGCTCCTCCCTC